TGGAGTTGTTATGCCATAGGTCATGGTCAGGGGTAAGGGTGGCAACAGGGCCGTTGGACTCATGTCAAAATATATCACAATTAGTTTTAGCATAGTCCAAAATAGCTATCTCCTTAATACATGTTTTGAACAGGTGGAGACTGTCAGAACATTCTCCATAGGGTCTCTTTGGAAAATTAGCTCACCAGATTTGATGCAAAATTCAATTAATGTTTTCTCGTATACTGGAGCATGTCCCCATATTTTCTATAGACGGATGGAAAGGTGATTTATTTATTTATGCCAAGGTTCTAGTTTATAACCAGATGACTTCATTTGAAGCTGGTGAAGAAAGCATTCAAGTTTTCTAAAACATGGTTTTTAGGGAGAGCGGGAGAAAAACAAACATTCACTACCTTTAACTTATGACGCCCCATGGTGTACGATCCCTGAATGTCAACCCTCAGGAAATATTGGGTCTGGATATGAAGAAACTTATTCATAATTTATTCTCCCTCTCAAGACAGATTTTCTGTGGTTTTCCTTGTGCGAGATTTCGCTGTCTACACCCAAGGATGTTGACATGCTACCTGTGCTGAAGAGGGAAAAGATGTAATTTTAGTGTTCTAATAATTAAAATAATTGACTGAACCAAAACAGTTTCTTTTAGGGTGTTTGAGAAAAACAATAGTTCCAAAGGAAGATCTCATCCTAATGAGTAAGATTTCTGAATGTACATTCTGTGTCTCTCAGAAGGAATGGCAATTTTAAAATCTTAATCAGAGGGTGGAGAATTTATGTCTCACCCATAATATATAAAATAATTTGATTGAGCTTCCAAACCAAATAATTTTCCTTCAACATAGGTGTGGATTTTGGCCAAACTTGTCTAAGCTATATTCTAAGCTTGTCCAGTTAACTCATTCACCCCTACATTTTTAAAAATGGACTTGCCCAGTCTTTGATTTGGTAAGTTTAAATGTGACTTTAGGGGTAAATGGGTCTTTGTAAGACATACTCTCTATATACGGTAATTTATTTGTGTTACAGAATAGTGCCCATCATTTCAAAGTGGAAGTCCAGCCCTGATACGGATGCTGTTACGTTCTGCGAGATGCTGTTCCAAAGTCTGGATGAGATGGGAGACATGTTACCTGCATCTCAGGCGAGACTGTAGCACAAACAGCAGGAGTGGGATGTGTAAACAGACAAAAATAGAAACATTCCTAACGAGAAAAAGACATAGTAGCTGATTTCTAACAGTTGTATTGCTGAGAGCTTCTGCAGAGCTTAGCAACAGCTTCCCACAGTTGTAACAGTGTTTCTATTGAGCATTTATTCACTCAGGTCATATATGATGTACAAGTAGGATGCGTGGCTTTGTGATGGTTGACAAAAAACTGTTCAAGAAAAATGATTTGTGATAAATAAAATATTGTCTGATTTTATGTTATAAATTTACTTGAAATTGATGGGATATCATTTTACTATTAAGCACTCTAATAATGAACATGAACTGAAACAGTCAAACCTTTATAAAGAGAGCATCCTCTTTAAGTAAAAAAACAGTCTCTTAATGGGGGTGGTCTCTTAACACAGGTTAAAATCACCATAATATTACTGCAATGAGAAAGATTGCAATAGTCTGAAAACTTATTCACCCCTGAAATTGCATAATGAACTATTCCAACCTTTGAATTGGAAGAGTTTAAATGTGTCTTCAGGGGTGAATGAGTTAATGGAGGTAGCTGCATAAGCAGGTTTGAATTTTACCTTTAGTTAATAAAATTTTAAGATTATATCCATCCAATAGCTCACACACATAAGGTTATGATATAACAAATTAAATAATCAGTAATGCTGCAACGTATACAATTTTAATTTCCATAAATCTTATTCGCACAGATAGAACAGTATACTGAGGGCCTTTGCTGGTTCTCTATATACTGTGAAATCAATGTTTTTTGTGGAGTTTTTATTACTTTGATTTCGTGGGTAATATTCATCCATGAATTCATAAGTCCACAAAGTAATCACAAGTTTGACATGCAATTCTCCATTTGAGTGGGAACTAATGTTAAATCAATTAGTGGACTAACGATTAATGTTTTAGTGCCAAGATTAATGTTTTTGTGCCAAGAAGATGTTAACTCAGCATGTTTATGTCATGTAACTTGGACCCATATTCATGAAACCGTTCTCACGCTCAAACTCGTATTCTGTACTCAAGTGCAATTTCCTGTTCCCAAAAACAATTCATAAAAATTCACATTTTGACAGTGAACTGGAAGAATAATGGAGATTAAAAGCCAAAAAACTGTTTACATTTGACCTTTCACTGTACTACATGATTTAAGCAAGTAACGAGAAAGTTGGCTCAGGTAAAAATCAATGTTTGAGCATAATTACAGTTTCATGAACACAGGGCCAGATCTTTTCGCAGAATTATTTGTGAACTTGATTGAATCTTTAAATGTATCCTATCTCACTGAATGGTAGTATGCTTTAAGTAATTTACGTTATTTTCTACAATTTGTCATTTAACTTCTATTGCACATGTCGTTATTAGTGATATTTTATGATATATCTTTATAATCAACTTTGTACTTGGACTCTCAGGTCCATGGAATTAAAATAAACAAGTTAGTGATCATGAATTCCTACAAATCTCTTTGTTTTTTGGGACATTATGACAGCGTAACATGTTTAAGGAGAGAGAGAGAGAGAGAGAGAGAGAGAGAGAGAGAGAGCAGCAAGTAAGGTTTATAGGTAATGGTGTCCTTACTGTTGGTATCATATTTATTCAAGGAATAAAATGTGCGCACTTTGCATAAATCTGTGAATTTCTTTATGCACAAAAGTGAACACATTTTTTTCGGGATATGCTGTATAATGCCACAAATAATCATGGCTATCCATTGTAATTTAATTTAAAAAGTCAGACAACACTTTTTACTTCATAGTTAATGAATATTCATTCATTTCTGATAAAAAAATAATAATATTAATTTTGCACGAACCACAACATTGTACAGTAAATTTCATCGCCAAGCAACTTCAACCAATCAGAATGTATAATTAAAAATAACGCTCCAAACAAATTGGTATACGACGTCATCACTTTTCAGGTTGTCTGTTTTTTAGGTTATAACAAACCTGAAAAAGTCTAGCATTGGGGGAATAGCCAAAATGAAATTATTTAACATACCACAAAACAGGTCTATGAAATAGACCCAAACAAATTGAATTTAGGCCCCCTTTTCCAAAATAGAAAAATCACACACAAAAAGTTGTAAAACAATTACATGTACATTAATTTTGTGTTCCATTTCAAAATTCATCAACCAATGAGTTTGTAGTTTCAAAATGATTTAGCAGTTAAGCTGTTAAGGCTGGTAAGAATTCTAAGGAGTGTTGTATTTTGTAAAATTTTACCTGATCTGCCCGAACGGCATGTGACTCTGCGTCATGATGCAACAGACATGATATTGATTCATCCATTGTCAACTTCTCCTCAAAAATGCTACTTCTCCAGAACAGCTGGGTGAATTTTCATTAATATTAGTCTGGAACACCGTTGTACAAATGGAGAGAATTGGCTAAGTTTAATGATGATGAGCAAAATCAGTGCATAATTAATTAGCATACTGTGCTCTGATTGGTCAACAGCCACACTGACATTTCTGCAAGATAAATAATTTAAAAATTGTCTTGATGAAAGTTGGTAAGCATGTACTCTACACAAAGACTTAAAAGGCTAAGTTTGAAGTTGTGCAAAATTGGTGCAAAATTGATAAGTATACTGTGCTCGGATTGGGTAGCAGTTCCTGCACAATAACTTGGTTTATTATGTTTGGATCTACGATAATCTAAGTTGTTGTTTTGGGTTCGCAGAATGACAGACGAGTGCAGCTGTACTTAGCGGCAGCCAGCAAACACAACTCTTTGATGGACGAGGCAAACCACCTAAATGGTAAGACCATATTAAGCTGAAAAAAGAACATATATATACTGTATTCCGTCTTTTCGTATTGCAGAGACGTAATGACGTAACAATCAATACCTGTTCACAAGAGCAGATAACTCTGCAATACGAAAAGACGGAATACCAGGAAATGTTCACCACTGTTTAACTTTCGCCTTCTTCACTCTGCCCAGTAAGGGCAAATATGCGTAGTTTCAGTTTTAGGCAGTGATATGGAGATCCTTAAAATCGTAATTTAAATTATACATACTGTATTTTGTGTAATTAAGTATCAGTGACCTATATATTTACAGGGTGTGACCGTCACCTGCTGGGTCTGTCCTGTGTTGCCAAAGAAGACGGGCTACCTCTACCAGACCTGTACAGTGACCTGTCCTTCACAAAAAGGTACGGAAAAGTCCTGTATCCAGAGCTGTGGAACCGGACACCAGTACATCACGTCCTCGATGCTGGAAGAGTTACGCTCACCTTCACTTTCTGCACGCCCTATGTCATAGCGAAATCGAAGGCTCAGTGAGCATCACCTTGTGGATGAGACAAGAAGACCTGTTTGATCCTATGATGTACATCAAAAAGTCTGTCGGTTGCGTAATAGTAAAATGACTGGCTTTTAAGTCAGTAACGTGTCAGTCCTCCTTAATCTTCAAAAGACTTCTATCAGCCCCAGCGATAGGTCAGGTGTTTTTACCTGAGATCAACCAAATAGCCAGCCTTGTACCTTCAATTTTGCTATGACAAATTCTAGGGATGCAGAGAGTGAAAGTGAGCTTAACCTCTGGAGATCGAGGATGCCTGCATCAGGGCTGCTGCCAAAATCTTAGACCTGATAACGTGATAATGAAAAGTTCAAGATCATCTGTAATAAATAAAGACATTTGTGTCATTTCCTGGATATTAAATTCTGTTATGTTCCAGGTAGAATGATTTCTCAAATAAAAGTTGTCAAGATGGATTATACTGTAGACAATTGATATTTTGTGAGATATCTATTTTCTCGTAAACTTGCATTGTCATGATATAGTCATGAATTGTGGTCCAAATGTGAACAATTATTTATATGAAATGTAAGACAACTAAATGTTATATAATATGGAATACAGTGTAATTATATTTCATAAATTATAACGTATCAGTGAAAAATCAAGCATACAGTGTTCTTATAATTAATGGTTTAATTTTGCATTTTCCAATAAGCGTGAAGAGTGCTAAAATATTTAATACCACCATAAAAAAATCTTTAAATGACCATAACTATTAATAGGATGTAAAACACAAACAAACAAGAAAAGTCCTTTTGTTGGCCAGACGTATTGACTATTTTTGTCCTATTTGTTGGTTTCAGTGGAGGGGGAGGATCCTTTGTGCTATCCACCAGTTTTGTAGGATACACTGCTGTCTATGGTTGTGTGGCTCCGATGATGGAACATGGATACGGAGCCTTCTACAAAATAGAAGCAAACAAGTAAGTACTGCTAAATTTGTATCTTAACATTGCTATTACCGGTAAAAGCTAAAAAACTGAAGGTCATAGTGGTTAAATGTGGCAAAATATTGACAGAAGATTTATAGATAGTAATCATAAATTCCATAGAATTGATAATAGCCTCTAACTAGTTTGCTGGGATGAGAAACTGTAAATTTTATTCAAATTTATGACCTTAATTGACCCAAATCAAGAATTGCTAGACTTGTAGTCATTGGATGTTCAAGGTCACAGAGATCAAAACGTCTTCTCAAGCATTTCAGCATTAAACATATTTTGCTATATATCACCATTAAATAACAGTTTAGCAATACAGGCCCCTCAAGCCTTTTGTTTCAAAAAGCCTGCCAACAATTGAATGTGGATGCTTGGTATTTCAAAAGATGAAATTATTAAATGCTGAAATTGAAGAGAGTAGAAATCGCTGATCTATATATATATTTTGTTTATCTTTAGGTTGGATAATAAAGAATAATGATTAATATTGATTTTAAGTGTTTACCATTACAGGATTGTACCAGCTGTAAGTGTCTGGAAGTCCAGCCCGCATACAGACGCTGTCAAGTTCTGTGAGACCCTATTTCAGAATCTGGATGAGATGGGACAAATGTTACAAAATTCAAAACTGTGATACAGACACATGTGCTGACTACAGGGGTCATAGGGTCAAAGTACAGCATGGGTAACAGGGTCAAAGGTGACTCGTATGTATGTGACCCTAGACGTAACATCAACTGGGATAACATAAATGTAATACATTCAGATTAGTTATACAGACAGCAACTTTCCTTTAAAACCATTGTTTTTATTTAACTATACAACCTACACATGTGCCATATGTCTAATGGGGTCATGAGGATCAAAGGTGACCTCATAGGTCAAAGGGTCAAAAGTGATTATAGGGGACCCTAGACAAAAAATTAACTGTGATGACAGATTCAATACATTCAGGTTAATTATAAATACAGCAGTATTCCTTCAACATAGTGTAATATAATGATAATAATTTAATCAACCCTTTGCAAGATTAATTTTACGTTGAAACAATAACATTCCTTCAATTATTTTTTTTCATTTAAGTACTTTTACAAGATAAAACTTTGATCGAAACTGCTATATTCCTTCAAAATAATTGTTTTGACTCAAATGTACAATGTTATTTACATATGCTTATCGCAAGTAAGTTAACATTACTTTTCATTTGTCGTTACGTTATGAGGAAATAGGACTTTCTTACTCTGGGTAAAACTGGTTTGTTACTGAAAGTGACATAATCTGTATAATGACTCAGGTAAATATTATTTCATATACATGTGTACTCACCTGTACAGTGTTATAAATCAGCCACCTTCATTTTCAATGAATTATTCATTTTAGCACACCTGTTCTATAAGAACATTAAAATGGAATATATTGTTTCCACAACAATTATGAAACAAGTTATGAAGTTATATTAATACATGTAATTCCTGTTGGCCTGGACAGACAAGGGGTCTGATTCCGGTAAGCAACCATTAGGTTGCAATATGCATACAAATACCTTAGGTAATAAATTTCACTTTTTTAAGCTTATACTTTCTGCTGATGATTTTAATATTTGCTATTTTGATGATTCATTATGCAAGTAGCAAAAAGGATGGAAGTTAGCTCTTTTTATGACAGGAACTGTAATGGCATAAATGTTAACCTTGTAAAATAATAAGTAATGTTTTCTAGTCAGAAGATGGTATCATAATGTGCCTTAAAATAAAATCTGTATTTTATTTCACTCTGTTATTAAACAGAGATTCAACAAGTCATACACAACTCCTGTTATGATATGTTAATTGCCAATATATTTTATCAAGACATGTAATAAGGAGATGAATCAGTAAATATTTTCCCATCCCTCTGAAATCATATGTATTTAATGAAAAAGTTTGGTCATTGAAAAAAATATTGGATAAACTAATTCTACCAAGACAATATTTCTTACCTCTGAAAAGTAAATTTCACCTAAAACTCAGTGCTAGGTTTTTCTTTCTTTATATTAGTTTGTCTGGTACTTTAGGAGAATTTTTGTGCCAGTTATGTTTCACTTGCTTGTGAACAGGAAACATTACTCTGCCATCTTGTATATACTGTACTATGGAAGAACAAATATACCATTCTCATAATTCTGTGATCTACTGAGATATTAAATCAGCACCGATCATCAACATATATGATATGTTTTATTTTATACCAATCACAGTGATCTTCAAAAGTGCTTAATTGATGGATGAGATTTGCGATAGTGGAATATATAATACATATGTATTTTATATTAGCTATATACATGTAGCATAAATTGTTTCATATCATTTGCAATAATTGGGTGTACTTATGAGATTTACATATTTATATTAAGATACTGTAAGTGTAATTTGTTGGAAATAAAATGCAGACAAGTATATATAAGTTGAATTTAATTTTTAAGAGTATACTAATTTAATTTTTGAGAATACTATAACTGAAATTTACAATAAAATTAACCATTATTTTTTTAATGTATTTGTTATTATTCTTTATTTTTACGTAATATTTAACAAAAGAATTAACTATAGTGTTGACTGTTGATCATTTACTAATAACTATGTATAACACAACTGTATGAAAAAGAATGTTTAAACTAACACAACTACTTTTAATTGTGGTATATCCTTATAAGGAAGAATTAAATACCTGTAGCAAGGTGCACTTTTTCCTGACATGTGTTTTGATTGGCTGATTCTGAAACGAGATATTTTCTCTGATTTCTTTCAAATAGTTCCTGTTTTTGTTTGGATACGTGGTGATACATCATATCACATCATATATAATACTAATGAGAAAGGCATATTTCCAGCATTTACATAAATTTAACAAGGTTTAGGTAAAGCTCTATTTTTAGACCAGCCAATCACAACATTCGTTACATTTTCCACTAGCCAAGTAAACAAATATGGCTACAAGAAGGCACACACGTTGAGTGTATTCTTAGAAGAACGTTTTACAGGTAATTGACCTAACTATATGTACTTTGAGTATATTGTCAGCTTACAAATGAGAGCAACAACATAATTCAAGGTAAGACACCCAGTGTGACTATTTCCTGGTGCCGTTTCTGTTTTGACGGCAATATACAGCGGAAGTAGGCCTATTCAGGCGGACGTCTAATGGACATGTATCAATAATCATAATATCCATTCCTTTGACTGAAAGTCACAAACGATCTCATTCTGACGAACATAAAGATGTGAACTGTGTTCTGTTGTCCAGTTTCACACAACTTTCTCCAAATGACACATACGACTTTAGAATAATAATTGAAAATCGAATATTTGCACCATTCCGACAGACATTTTTCGAAGCATAATTTAGATAAGATCTTGGCTACTGTAT